CACCAGATACTTAATTACACCAGCAACCACCCCAACGCCCCTAAATGGAGCTGCATCAGAAACGAGCCACGACATACTGTAGCAACACAGAATTGCGCAAAGCAGAACAGGAGCACTTATACAGAGTTTTTAAATGGAATGGATACCCCAAAAAGCACTATCTGTTGTTACCTCCGTAGCAGACCGCAACAAGAAGTCACAACATAGCCAGACATACTAGTCACCCTACTGCACGTCAGAGATGACTACAAGAGTACTCACGCTCCCAGGTGTCAGGGTAGTCCACAAACCAACAACCACCCCGTGACAACTACTGACGAACGGAAAGAATCCCATACCCACAACCAATAAAACTAAAGTAATGCACAAAATACCATGCAAAGACTGTGGGAAACGTTACATAGGCCAAACGCGAAGGAAACTGTCAGTAAGGATACACGAACACTCACTAGCCACCAAGAAACACAACCAATTCTCACCTGGTCTCTATACACTGACAAAGAAGGACATGAGTTCGACTGGGACAACACATACATAATAGCAGAATCCACACAGAGACATGCCGGGGAATTCCTGGAAACCTGGCATTCCAATCAACTCCATCAACAAACAAATTGAACTGGACCCGATATACAAACCATTGACAAACAGAACCGGAAGTGATGCCAACCACCCCAGCAAACTGAGGCATGTAAATACCAAGTGGGACAGAACACCAACGCTTCATCAGAGGTGCACTGATGATGTTACCTAGCAGGGTAACGAAACGACTGCAATCAAACACACCACCTCAGCGAGTATATCTGCAACCTCATACACGACCTGAGCAACAAATCTTCTCAAAACGAAAAGATTGACTGATATGAGTCAGTCGTGATAAGGGGGCGTTTTTAGGATGGCAACCTACAACCAATGATACACCACAGGGATCTGTGCTGGGGCCATAATTATTTACAATACATTTTGATGAATTGGATGAGGAAAGTGAATGGGCTTTAGCCAAGCTTATAGATGATGCAAAAATAAGTGGGGTGGCGAGTGGTAAGGACGAGAAGAGTCTGCAGAGGGTTATAGACAAGCTAAGGGAGTAGGCAAAAACTTGGCAGATGGAATACAATGGGAAAATGTGAGATTATACACTTTGACAGGACAACTAAACGCTAAATATTATCTAAATGGAGAAAGACAGCAGAAAGCCACAGCACAGAGGGATTTGGCAGTCCAGTTCCATAAATTGTACTAAGCTGGCATCCACATTCGGATCATAATATGGAAGGCAAAGTAAATGGTGTACAAGGTAGGGGGCTTTGCTAAAACTGTACAAGGCACTTATCAGCTCGCAACTGGAATACTGGGCACCGTTTTTTGAGCCCTTATCTAAAGAAAGATATATTGGCGTTGGAGGCAATCCAGAGATGGTTGATACGAGGCATGGAGATACTGTCTTAGGAGAGGTTGAGTAGGTCAGGCCTATACTCATCGGAGTCTGCAAGAATGAGATGTGACTATATTGAAACATATATTACTCTTGGGAGACTTAACAGTGCAGAGGCATAAAGATTGTTCCTCCCTTGTGGGAGAAACAAGGACCAGAGGACATCATCTCAGAATAAGGGATTGCACCTTTTAAGACAGATGAGGAGGAATTTCTTTTGAGAATAGTAAATCTGTGAAATACTTCACTGCAGCGGGGTGTCAAGCCTGTGTTCTTAAGTGCTTTCAAGACTGAGAAACAGATTTTTGATTATGAGGCTTGCAGGGAAAAAGCAGGAATTTTTTTTTTGTTCACTTGTGGGATGTGGGTATTGCTGGCTGGCTAGGCCATTTGAAGGGAATTGAGAATCACCCACATTACTGTGGGTCTGGAGTAACATGTAGGCCAGACCAGGTGAGGATCATAGATTTCCTTCTCTGCAGAACGGTAGTGGGGCCAAATGGATGTTTTTTCTGAGAATTGGTAATGGTTTCATGATATCAATACATTTTTAATTCAAGAACTTTTTATATTGAATTCACATTTCATCGTTTGCCATGGTGGGACCCGAGTACCATTAGCTGAGTTTCTGCATTAATAGCCTAGCAATAATACCACGAGGTCATCACTTCTCCTGTTGAGTGTTGTTGACAGTTATCAGATCAGCCATGATCTCAATGGATGGCAGAACATAGTCGATGACCTGAATGGCCTACTTGTGTTTCTTCATCTGTTGCTCTTGTGGTGTAATCGGAACTATCTTTTTTCTAAGAACAAACTATTTTATCTGTCTTGCCATGTAACTGATAATGTTCTACTCCAGTGCCATTTTCCTTCGCAGTGGTGTTCATGAGTGTAGCTCATCAGATGAGTCCTAACCAGAGCTTTATTAAAAATTTAACATAAGTTTCTTGCTTCTGTGTTCTGTCTCTGTTTACAAAACTAAGGATCTTATTTTCTTTTCACAATAGCCCTTTCAACTTATCTTGCAATCCTTCAAAAGTTTTTACGTGTACACCCACTAATCTCTCTTCAAAATTGGGCTATTTTATATTGTCTTACGGTTCCTCATTGCCCTTATCAAAATGTATCATTTCACACATCTCTACCTGAAATTTAATCTGCCACGTATCCAATCGTTGCACCATTCTGTTTATATCCTCCTGAATTGATTTTGTTTTAAACTATCATCCTCGCTGTACTTTGCATTTCCAAGTTTCATGTCAGAGGCAAACTTTGAACTATGACCTCTATATCCAAGTTCAAGTTATTAATATATGTGTATGTATGCGCACATTAATAACTTTGGATTTGGATATAGAGGTTATATATATATATAGGTGTTCACCAATACTGTACTTTCTGTTGCTTAATCAGTTTTGTATCCACACATCCACTGCCCATTTAACCCTATAGACTTTAAATTTGCTGACAAAATCTATCGGGCGACACTACCAAAGCCATTCTTATAGTGCAGTTGATAGTTACATGGGCAATCTTCATCAATCATTTCCAGTTTTATTGGAAAAACTTAAGAATTAATCAAATCAAATACAATTTGCTTCTAACAAATCCATGTTGGTTGTAGTTTATTAAACATTGTTCTTTTAAGTGACAGTGAGTTCTGTCCTAGGTTAATACCTCAAAGTTTCCCCAGTGTTTATATGAGGCTGATGGGCTGTTGTAGTCAGGATTATCTCACCCATACCCACAAAAAGATAGAAACATTTAGAGTCCCTAATTCTCCTTTAGCACTCTCCTATCTAAGGAGGATCGGAAGAGACTTCATCAAAGATTTTGCAATCTCCACCTTTTATTTCCATCAGCAATCTATAAGGCATCTTACTTGAACTGGTGATTCAAATTTGAACACTACCAACCTTTTTCCCCTGAAGTATGTTTATTTTTATTTTTCTTTCCTGAATATGGAGGCAAAGTATGTGGTCGAGATAGTAAATACATGCCTTCTTCCTCTATAAGATAACTTGTATCTGTGCCAAATTAATCCTACACTCCCTTTTTGCCATTTTGTACAGCCTGTCAACACAAAAGACTTTTGGTCCTCTTTCATGTTGTGTGGCTAATCTATTGTTAGACATTCTTTATCCCTCTTATTTTCTTCCTCAGTTTTCCTTGTACTTTTTTCTTTCCAATATAATTTGCTACTTAATGTGAACCTAACATTTGCATTTTAATTTTGTCTTTAGTTATCCAGGGAGCTCTAGCTTTAGCTGTCTTTTTTTCCTATATGACTACTTTGGGTTTGAAGATATCATACCGTTTACTGACTTACAGTCTTGATACCAATTTGCCTGGACCAAATTTCTCAAACGCCTAAAATTAGATTTCTTTGAGTTAAAGTTTTTATTGATGATTTTCCCCTCACCTTTCTGTAACAACTCTCAACTTGATATTATAGTCATTGTTTCCCAGCGCTTTCTTTTTAAACATGCTTTGCTTTTCCCGCTTCTTTCCCCTGACTTCAGTAGAATAAATTTTCCACGTCATGTTAATTTAATTGGCAAACTCTTAAACTTAATGAGGTTACACGTTGTAAATGTTTTCTGTTGTGGTAATGCTTTGTTTTTCACAGTCACAATGAGATTTGTATGACTGCATAAAATAGCAGACATGAGTAATAGATGCATATAGATATATTTAATGTTTTTTGTTAATGTGCACATCATCATAAACAGACTATAGGAGGGTAAATGAGCAGGCAGAATATTAGGCCTGATTATTCTTAGCTAGATTACAGTTTAACTTTGTCCCTTTTCCAATCCATTCTTCTTGTCTTGCCTGAGTGGTGGGGTTATACATCGATGAGAAGCAGCAAGCCTGATCAATTTCCATTGAACACTAGTTCATATTTCCATAAGGAGCCATAAGAAATCCAATCAGTTTGGCTAATTGATCAGAACATTTTTGTATGGTGCACTGGATTCATAGCTAACTAAAA